TCTCACCAGACGTGAGGGTGTGGTTGGCAGTTCTACCCCTCCAGCGGAATGTGTTGGGGAGGGAACCCTTCTGCGTTCTCATGAACCACTCGACCCATTTGTCCAATTTGGGAAGCAGTTCGAGCAGGACCTTACCAGAAGAAATCTTCTGCAGTCGATCGATCGTGAAGAGCATCGTTGGTGGATTCGCATATTCTTCCTGGAATACGTAATGAGAAATCCCATCGAAAAAACGGATGACTTACGTTCTGCGTCTGGAATTCTTCCGGTACTTTACTCCTGGCTTCCAACCCCAATATTTGCTCTCTCGCAATCCAGCCCTTGTGGTTCATCAGATTGAACCAGTGCTTTAAGACGTCTTCTGTGATGTCGTGGTTCCACTTTTGGATGACCAACTGGTGGAAGCCTTCGTCCCAGAGAAATCCGCGCGGGAAAAAAGGGCGGGAAGGCACTGCGGTGAAGAGACTGCGAGCTTCGTCCTCTACAACGCTCTGACCCTTCTGTAATTTGGAACGACCGTGGAAAAACCTGCGAAATTTCTCAGTGACGGGCGGGTTGTAGATCGACCGTTGCGGATAAATAGATCACCCGATACCACCGATGAGGTTCGAAAAGGTCTCTCTAGCAAAGCGTTGCTGGTCGGCGGTGAACGATTTGCGTTGTAGATGAAACTTTTCCTCGAACGAGGCATCGAATGCGGCCCTGCGTTGTTGAATGGCCTCGTCTAAAGACTCTCCGTGCAGAGCATCGTCTCTCAGGTTGATCCTCTTTCTCGTTGCTCCTTCACCTTCGTCATGTGTAAAGACCACGTCAAACTGTCGTGACGATGAGAAGATATCATCGTCATGAGCATCATCGGAAGGAGAGATATCATCGGAAGGAGAGATGATCGTCGCGATCATGTTGAAGATGAGAAGTTTTCCATGTCATGAACAACATCGAGTGCATAAATGATGATGGTCGTGGTGATCGTGACAAAGATGAGAAAATCATCATCATGAAGGTCATCACCTGGAAGGGTGTACGTAACACTCTCTGGAATACGTACATGTTCGAACCCTTGGGAGCTTCGTTCGACAGCGTGGGTACAATGATCCCCGGCTCATCACTCTCTTCCCTTCCCTTCTTCTTTTTTTCCGTTTTTCCGACGCTAGAAGAGAAGATCTTCTGCTGGTCTTTTCTACTCCACGTCGGCTCGTTGTAGACGGTCGATGTATGACATCCTATGCGACATCTCACCTGAGAGACTGAATGATGGGATCCCTGACTCTCCACAGTTGGTCTTCACCAGCCACGTGTAGGCCCTCGTATAGTGTACGCGTGAGGTCTTTAGACGTACTGTACTCTCTTCCCTTGGGAGTGTAATCGTCCAGGTCTTCCACGTCATCGCCGGGCAGTACGGCGATCTGGAAATTTCCGAGATCTTTCGTGCGGCCGGTGAGACCTACATCTACGAGGCCCTGACTCGTTCAGAAAAATGATTTTAATTCGATTTTATTTTCGATTTCGTGAGGGAGAATGTGATGATGATGAAGGGGATAGAGGTGCGACCGATGGTACGTGGATTGGAAGGAGACTCACCTTGTGTGCTTTTCCGATGAGATCGAGTCTCTCATCGGGTAGGAGATCGACGCCAAAGTAATTGTAAAGAGAGACGATCTTCTGGTCTTTCGATGTACTGGTCACTCTCACTCGATAACTCCACTCCCCGCCTGATCACCATCACATTAGACGGTTTTCACTTCATGAAATGATGATGAGAGCACACACCGTATTGAGAGGTGGGGTTCTTCACAAAGATGGTGGACACATTCAGACTCATCTTCTTGTCGATGACTTCCTGCTCTCCAAACGTCTGACCATCGTGACGTATCCATCCATATCTGAGGATCTCTCAGACATCGAAGAATGATGTGCGTGTGAATCACCTCTGCATGTTATCTCCTTGTTCACAAGTGTGTCTCATATCTGGGACGATCAGAAGTAGTGCGAGAAGTCGACTCACTCTCAAAGTCGCTCTGATAGAAAGAACGAGATCCGACAGTGTTCCACATGAGACCAGTCAAAAATGGTCTCTCAGATCTCGTCTTCATTCCAAAGTACAGATTAGGTCTGTAACTACCCCAGAACATGGTAGAATTGTATATCTCGGCTTCAGTCGATCCACTGAAGGTCTGTTGGATATCATCTTGTCCAAATACCCCTGAAGCGCTGTCAGGGATGATGGAGTGAGACGAACAGACCTAATAGGAAGAGTATAAAGACCAGCCTCGTCTTCATGTTGCTGCTGGTCTGTTGTGAGACACGTGTTTCTGAATTCGATGGTGCAAAAAAATTGAGACGTCATTATCAACCGAACAACATGATCTCACGTGCTTGCTTCATTCTATCGATATTTTTGATATCAGCGGGTGAGATCTCACTTGATGAAATATGCATCTGATTCTCAGCAGTTGCAAATGACGCATTCCACAAGTGGATGGTAGAACGTGACAGCAGCCGTTCAAGCAAGATTGAATTCGTCACCACTCAGTCTCCCAAAGACGGCCACATCGGCAATGTTCACCTACGAGTCGCCACCAACATCAAGGTGAGACGATCTGCTCTGGATGATCTGACGACCACAGAAAAACGAGATCCTCTATTCATTCGACATCTCACGCCCCACAGCGGTCATCAGCGCTCAAGGTCGGTATGATATTATATCATGATCGTCTCTGATCATTCGAAAGAGGCCAGACGTGATCCAGATGTTGGCCACGTCTTTCGAGCCATACAGGAGAAGAGAGAGAAGAAGAAAGACAGAAAGGCCGTCGTGCTGAATGATGGAGAGGCCATCAAGTTATACAGCATGTGGTTACGTGTGAATCGTCCGGATCGTTGGGCCGCTTACCTCGGTGAGATCGATTCATAACCCCAATCATGTCTCTCGTCTGATGATGTCGACGTCAGATGTGCTTCCAGAGTTAGACGTACCTCTCATGTGGAGTGACGAAGACTTGTCTCAGTTGAAGGGCAGTCCTCTGTACGGCGAGTGCCAGGATGATATAAGCACGACGTCTCATCACCATCAGATCTGACGACAGACCTGAAGGAAGCCATGGACGCCGATTGGAACACTCGTTTCAGACGCGTCTTACAGGTGAGTTTCCCGCCAAAATCTTCCCTCATCTCTTCAGAAATATCCAGAACATTTTCCCGCCACCTCTTACACCTTTCGTGATTTCTTGTGGTCCACTTCTCTCTTGGGAGGTAGAGTGTGGAGACACGAAGGAGACAACATCATCTTGCCCATCATCGAGTCCTTCTCTTTCGACAAAAAGGTGAGATGCCTCGTTGTAGAACGAAAATTCACGGAAAAAGACGTCGGCCAAGTTGCAGCAGAAGGGCGACATCGTAGAGCTGGTCGCCACCCGAGATATCGCAGGGGGAGAAGAGGTGAGTGATGCGATATCGCAGGTTAACTGACGCATTCGCGTCTTTCAGATCCATCTGCGACACACTGACACGAACATGGGTAATCGAGATCTGTTAGACTATTACGGCATCACGATCAACGACAACGAACACGACAACGTACAATTGGGTGTTACATTAGACAAAGACGACAGACTATACGGAGCCAAGATGGACATGTTCAAGAGAAAAGGAATCAAGAGGTGAGACCATCATGATGACGATGATTGCGATGATGATGGTGTCTGATGAGGAACACAGTGGACAGATGTTCACTCTGACGAAAGAAGGTGCTTCGAATGAGTTGATCGCCGCATTGCGGATCTATCACACCACTCTGTACGATTTCGATACCGTCACACTCGCCCTCGTAGACAAGCCCATATCTCATCAGAACGAACTGGACGTGTCGAGGTAGTCTCATCCTCTCATCACGATCGCATGATCCGCATCATTGCGCCACATCATCCTCTGATGAATGTGAAAGGTCCATACTCGAATTGTGCGAGAGAGCTTTAGATGCATACGAGACACCTTCTTCGAGGGAAGAAGAAGAACTATTGAAGAAGAGGGAGGCAACGACGAACAGAGTGTGGAACGCAGCGAGAGTCAGGAGGTGATCCATTAGTGACGTCATCACATCGGGATGCGATCGGATCGTAATGTGACATGCAGATCGGAGAAAAGGATCCTCAAGAGGACCATACTACAAGCGAAAGAGGTGAGCGACATCGACATCGTCCATGAGGTCATCTGATCGAGAGAAGGCGATGGTGAATACCAATGCAAAGTGGGACAACAGAGGAGTGGACATTCCAACAGCATTGAAGTCCATCAAGAGCGAAGTAAAGCCGAACACCAAGCTCACACCCGTGTAAGATCAATAAAGATACGAAAGAAAGGAAATAAATACAAGTGTATTGACAATAATGTTACAACAAGGCTCATGGAAGACCTCATACGTTGATTTGGACGATGCGAAGGACTCTATTCCCTGTGCGATTTACAACAACGACATATTGGTTGTCTTCTTCGTCTTCATCTTCTGTCAGTTGGTGGAACTCTCTTGCAGTCGCCAACTGGAATCCATCAGGGATGATGACGAGGTCTCTTCACCTCCAGACTGAACTCGTCATTCTTCGCGTTCATCTTGGACATGCTCTTCGGAAGACCTTTCGTGATGCTTCTACAGCCGTAGTCATGCGTGGGTCGATGACCATAGAAGGTGTCCTCGTGGCCTTGTTCTTGATCGTCATCCGTGACGCTCTGTCTGGCTGAAATATTCGAAATGAACGAAGCTGACTCTCGCGGCCTGGGATGATTCGGGACACCGCGGTGTTGAAAGGTTAATTTTCCCTGATCAGCAGCAAAGGAGGTGCTCTATTTTCTGATCGTGGAAGTTGGAAGCAGATAATGACTCCAAATTGGGTGCGTTCGGAAGAAGTGGTTGCCTGAGAGACAGCCATATGGACTAAACAAGATGCACCTGCTGTTGGTGAAGATAGAGTTGTTCTCCATGTAGAGTCAGAAGACAAAAAGTTGGTTGCCTACGCGCGGAATCGAACCGCGGTCGTTGGAGCCACAATCCAAAGTACTACCCCTATACTACGTAAGCTTGGTATCGTCGATGTAACCCAGTGCTAATCACACTGCGATCTGATTTTATGTTTCACTCAACTGCAGTTTCTCATCACACATTGTGCGGCCCAAGAATGAATCTAATTATCATTTATTCATTAAACAAGCGCGTTCAGAAGGATGTGCAACTCTCCTTGATATTTCGGACCTTAGAAAACTTTCTACAACCAGCTAATATTATATTGAAAAACGTATTGATGATGAGGTATGAGGTCGTTTATCTACATCCTGCCAACAGTCCGACATTTCTGGGTCTCCGTTGTTCTTGAGGGTGTCTACGGCCTTGGTGAAAAACCTACGCGACGCTACGTAGAAAAAACGGGCCCGTGAAATTTTTCCGTCTATGCACCCCACGTTTCGCTATCGAGGCCATCGTGTCTCCCCTCCCGCTCTGCGAAATTTTGCGGACGAGCCCCTTCGCAGCTCCTCTCCGGCTCCACCGGTAAGTCTACAGCCAGTTCTCCTCGTTAGTTATTCTTAGCGAGTACATTGTAGCTCCTCTCCGGCTCCACCGGTAAGTCAACAATCGGCTCCCCCTCCGGTGATCTTGCCAACAAGGCTCCCTGCCTTGTGGCTTTTGTAGACCTGAGTCCGTGATCAGTCCAAAATTCCCCAATGTACAGAGAGAGATATATATGGGTGGGTGGGTGGGAGACCTCTCGCTTTGAATTGAAAAACGACTATGATTTCTATCGTGTGCAATCGTATGATGTCGTCGTTTCCAATATGGTATGATAGAAAGCGAGGAGTTTTCTCGATAGCAACCGTGTTGATATCATTATATGGTCGACATAAACTTTTCAAAGAAATACGTTATTTTCAGCGAAGCAAAATTCGGTGAATGAAAAATATGGAAAATATATCTACAACGTCTTATTTCATATATTTTTCCGCCGGTTAGGACGTTGTGCTTCTTTCCGAGACTCGAACTCGAGTTCTGACGGGTTGTCTCGGATAGGTGGTATTTAAACGTTGTGCGATCGCACAAACACTTTGCCTCTGCATTGAAGTCTCATCTCTTCGGGATTTCTCCTCTTTTTGCTCCTCCAGTGTCGATCGCCCGACTTTCATTCAATCGCACAAGATCATCTGGACTACTGATGGGACTATTCAACTTTGCTGCGTTTTCTCTCACCCTCTTTGGTGCTGCACTCCTGTTGGCAGGCACTGCCACCCCCTGGTACATCACCAGCACCGAGTATTCAGACCAATACGGTATTACTAACTCCTGCAGACAACTGTATGGATTTATGACGGTGAGGCAATGCGTTCAACAACTGGGACTGATGTCAAGACAGGTCTTTATCGATTGTGATCATACCCACGACCAGAAGATAGACAACTACGATTGGGTCAAGGCTTGTGGAGACGACAGATCCCAGGGCCTGTGTCCTTTCGTCCCTGCATCCATCGCTACCATGTGCTTGATGATCATCGCCGTTCTCATCGCTGCGGTCGTGTCTCTCACGCTTCTGATGGGCGCCATCTTCAAGAGAGGAGGTGACTTGACAGCTAAGATCTACATGTTCGGTGGCATCTCCACTTTCGTACTCGTGCTCAGTGAGTCTACGGTTCCCACAGCGACATCATCTGAAAATGTGCAGTTTCCCTCATCGTCTATGGAGTGAAATTTCACGATACAACGGGTGTATTTATCTATCAGAAGGACGGATCAGTGACTTATGGACCTCTCGGCTGGTTGATCTCCCTCATCGGCGGCATCATCTTTCCTGTCGGATGCTTCTTGGCATCAAAGTCCACCCAAGAGAAGGGATACATCCCCATCTGAAGAAGATTTCAACAGAGCATAAAATCACCACACACAAACCCAGAGCCTTCATCGATATATTACGCGAGCGTAGCGAATAGAATACACATCTTCGATCATCATCACGTCCGAGCGGCAATCATCGCGATCCCATCTCACTCTCACAAACACTTGACGATAGAAACGGCTCTTTATTTCAAGCTGACAACTGCTCGAAAGTCGGGAACGGCTTATCTTGTCCCCTCTGCAACCTACACACGGTCACCTTCTGCATCTCCCTCTCTCCTCACCAGTTCCTCTCCGAATACTCGGCACCCCTCTCCACCATGTGAAAGGTATAGACATATCTGGATTGCGGGCTCGTGTTCTTGTCTGATAGATGAACTAATTCTCCGTGGATGACGAGGCAGCTGCCGGCAGGGCAGGGCAGGGGGACCCAACCGCCGGATTCTCTGGGAAATTTCTGGGCGAGGGTGTCCCAGGGAGCCTTGTCTGATCCCTTTGCCTTCTCCATGGTGACGCCGCGTTTGTCTCCGGTCAAGACGAACTCGTCGATGATACCATCTATGGACGATCAGTCGAGATGATGGTAGAGTTGGATCATCGCGATCTTGATGGTGATCGTGTGATGGAGAACACGATGATTGTGATGGCGATCGTATGATGGAGATGATGATTGTAATGGTGATCGTATGATGGAGATGATGATTGCGATGATGATCACCCTTGTGAGAGCCTGGTACGGCCCAGATGCATCCGTTCTCGAGCGTCGCATCTTCAAGAGGAAACCACAAAGCGGCACATGTCATGGGGTTCGTCTTGATGAAGGTACTGTCTTGGTGGATGTTGACTGCAGAGAGTTTATTGTCTGCGTGCGAGGGTGATGATGATCTCACCCGTTCCACCGATCCTGGGTTGTTTGAAGATGAGCATGGATTGAATGATGATGGGGTCCTTCATACCGAGAGCTTTGGACACTTCAGACACTTTCTTCTCTCCACTGAACTGTTGAGAACGTCACGAATATGTTCCATCTTTGAATGATGGGATGAATCCTTACCTTTCTGAAGATGGGGTCTAATTCATGCAGAGCTACCGAGGTCACATTAGAAGAGGATGTGAAGAAGACGACTCACCGTGACCGATCTTGTTGATTGCCTTAGACTCCTCGACGACAAGTTTGCCTGTGGCATCGACTGCATCTTCCTCGAAGAAGAATCGAACCTTGTCACCACTCGAGATGAAGTAATCGGTCGTGTTCCTCTGTTGATCGTTGGTCGAAAAGATCTCCTTGTGTCCACTATTGTCATTTCCAGAGAAGAAATCGGTGACTAACTTGAAAGCCTGGTCTCTCATTGTCTTTGTGTCGACTTCGTTATCGGTCTTTTGAGTGGGGATGAAATCAGGTATGATTACATAGCTGAACGATTAGACATCGAACACTCGAGACATATCTCACCCATTCTCTTCGTAGAAACGCTTGTATTCTTCCAGTTTTTCGGGGGTCAGAGATGCGGCCATGGTGATGTGATGTGATGTGAAAAACACGGTTACAAACCGGAAAAATCAGTGTCACAGGCAACGATGATCTGGGATGAACAACAAGACACGCAGTAGAAGGAATAGAAATACATGTCTATGCGCAGTTAGACATAGATTCGCAGACGCACGGTGATGTGATCACAGTGCGAAGAGTAGCTGGCCTCTTTTTATGATATCTCAAATGATATCTCTGGAGGTGACGTTCCAGACTTGACACAGTTTACGTCATTCTAACCATGGACAACACAAACGGAGATGATGGAAACATCATGAACGAAGAACAAGTATCGTGGATAGTATCCAAGGTGTATAAAGAGGTGAGAAGTCGAGGTGCTCAAGAGTATTCATGACATATAGCTCTTGTTCAAAATCGCCCTCGAATGCCCAGACGAGAAGAGAAAGATCCAGGTAATGGTGGGTGCTGATTATGCACCGATATGTCTCACCTTCACAGATGGACGAAGAATATCTTCCCAATGAAGAATGCATCGAGTGCAGAGGTGATGATTCCTCCTATCCCTTCATCAACTTGAGATCAGTCACATGGAACATCAGCTCTGTGAGATGGATTTCGACTTTCAGATTGGAAAACATTGGAATCGATCCATTGCATCTATCCCATCTATCGGTAGAAGCATCCTCGGCCGGTCATCAGAAGATGGTCACTCTGACAGAACAAGTGATCTTTCACGTCATGACCAATCCCACTCACCTCCACAGTTTCATCCCAACGGAAATGAAGGTATTTTTGATACCACTTTCAACGAAGAAGTTTTGGCGGGAAACATGGAAGGCAGTGGTTACGCTCTCCGAGTGAATCCTCTCTCGCGTCACCCTCCTCATTCTCCTCTCAGATCGCAGCGAAGGACGTGAAGAAGTTTCAACTCGACGCTCAGACGAGACGGCACATCCAGATGTCTCTCGTGGCGAGCCAGGTGAAGAGACGATCGATGTTGATGACGATGACATAACCCTGATTGTACAGATCGACGTCATTCGAAACGGAGACATTCTCTTTCGAGGAGAGAAAGACGTGGAAACAACGTGGAAGTCTCTCTTCCATCACGATGAGGTGATGCATCATGAGACGGATGATCGAAAGAATACTGACTGCTAGAAGATCTCTTTCAATCGATACAAAGGAAAGAAGAAGGCCATCGAAGCATCCACACTCGCCGCTTACGGTGACTCTCCCCCATCTCAGCCTCCGACCTCGTCCGTGAGTTTGAAATTTCAATGAAATGTCATCGTCGACAGGTGATCATCATGAAAGACGGTCGTCCGGCTCGTGAAGACATCACGAGAATCTTTCGTGATATCATGAATCGTCCAGAGCAAGAGTACCAATTGAGTTCCGATCCCTTTCAACTCCAATGGAGACATGTACTCACAGCTTCTACACCCTACTCTTCTTCTCTTCACCTTCTCGTTCAAATCGAAGGTAAACAGATCCATTCGTGAATTCGAACGATGATGGTATATTCATCTACAACGCTGTAGATCAACCTTTTCACAGGAGATCTGGTGGAAGAAGAGATGGAGGATGTAAATCAGATCGTTCAGAGCACCATCAGTAGATGCATGGAGAATCTCTCACATAAACACCCAGAGTTACTCTCTCAAAAAGAGAAGAAGGTGAGAACGATCGACACCTTCACCTCCTCACT